ACAGGGAGAACTAAAAAACCAACTAACCAACCAACACCCAAACAAACACTAAAAAATTTGGGGGAAGAGGGAGATTTTAATTTTCAGAATCAACACATATGGTTCAAATAACTAATTTCCAGCAAAAAGAAAAAAAAATTCAAGCCATACAAAGAAACAGCAAAGTGTATCCCATTCAAAACAATGAATTTTTTAGAAAATGAGCTAAGTCAATAGAAACTGTCACTGAGGATACCCAGGAATCTGACTTAATAGACAAAGGCTTTATTTTAATTTATTTTTTTGTGGTTGTGGTGAACAAACCCAGATCCTCATGCATACTAGGCAATTGCTCTACAGCTGCACCACATCTGATGAAGACTTATTTATTTATCACTAATTTTTTGACCAGACTAGGGTTTAAACTCTTTGTCTTATGCTTTCTAGTCAGGTGCTCTATCTGACGAAGACTTTAAAACAACTGTTTTAAAGTTCTTCAAAGAGCTAAAGAAAGACATGAACTCAGGAAAACAATGTATGAACAAAATGAGAATATTTGTAAAGAAAGAGAATTACACAGAAGGAACCAAAATGAAAATCTAGAATTGAAAAGTACAATAGTTGAAATGAAAAATTGGTTGGAGGGGTTGAAAAGCAGATTTAAGCCAACAGAACAAAGTATCAGTGAACTTGAAAGTTTTTTTTTTTTTAATGTACTTCTCAAACCCTGTTCTCTTGTCTTTTCTACTTCCTATGTCAAGCTTTCCTAATCACAGGCAGACTCCAAATTGTTCTATCTGCCTCCTGCTTTGTCTCCTCTACTCTTACCATAGTAGTGAACGTTTTAAAATCTTAAATCTGGTAACCAGGTACCTGTGATGACTTGCATCTGTAATTCTAGCTATTTAGAGGGCTGATACAGAGAGAATTGTGGTTCAAGGCCAGTCTGGGCAGTTCATGAGTCCCCATCTCAACCAATAGCTGAGCCTGTCATCTCAAGCCACATGGTGACATTGGGAGCAAGTGATTTGAGGCTGACCCATGGAACAAAAGTTTGCAAGACCTCTGTCTCAATGGGAAAAGCTGGAAGTGCTGGTACGCTCGTGTCATTCCAGTATCAGAGGGAAGCATTAATAGGAGGATCAGGGTTCAGGCTGGCCCTGGCAAAAAAGCAACACCTTCTCTTTAAAATAACCAGAGCAAAGAGGGATTGAAGACATGGCTCAAGTGATAGAGTGCCCACCTAGCAAGTGGGAAACCCTGAGTTCAAACCCCAATACTGTGAAAAAAAAAAATAGAAATCCACATGTGATATCGTCACTGTCCTTAAAAATATCAAAAGGCTGTGTATATAGGTTGAACGTCAGTTTCCTTATTTTTGCATTCAAAGGTCTTCCTCTTCTGGCTCTTGCCTACCACAGAGCTTTATCCCAAACAAGGCCATATTTTACTCATACACTTTGACAAGATGTTCTAAGGTACAAAGCCACGTGCTGATAAAAAGTTGAATACATTGGAAAACCGAAATTAATTTTCTGTGAATGGGATATGCTATTATATGGCATTGGACATAACTGAAATAGACTATATACAGTCTATTTTTATAAAGGACTCAATGATAAAAGTACATGTACATCACTAATCCAGTGGTCAACGTCAGTATCCTATATTAGAGACAATAAATACTATTGTGTAATAAATAGTATGCTAATGTCAGGAAACCTGGAGTACAGCACAACATCATACATGATGTTTAATTTGAGTCCACTGAGATTTCATATATAACTTTTAGTTTGCAGGAAATACAGTCTGAGAAAAACAAATGTAATGACTTCTTAAGGAAGCAACCATTCAGTTCCAGAAATTTTTATGCTTCAGTTGACCTGATTTCTGCAATGAGCCATTGTCTTTTTTTTTTTTTCCAAGTGCCATATTTCAAAAGACTTGAAGGACATAAGCAGATGCATTGTGTGGCCCTGGATTAGATACTGTTTGGGGAATGCTAGTTATAGAAAAATAAAATTTGGTCATGAGAATATTTTATTGTAATTAGATATTAGATGAGGGGAAATTTTCCTGAAAAATTACTGATTGGGAAGGTCAGCTGTGAAAATATTTTTAGGTTAACAGAAAGTTTGAAACTGATATAAGAATTAGAGGAGATGAAAATTTACTGAAATAAGGTAAATATTGTTGATCAAAAAAAGATTACAAAACTGTGATCTTGTAAAAAATGTGTACACACAGTGGATGTGCATTGAAATGTTAACATTTGTGGTAAGAATGTTCTTATTGTAGTTTTTTTTTGTTTTCTACTTCAAAGCATATTGTATGTATGCAATAAAATTTTAATTATAATTATTTTTAAATTGTATATATATTTTGGGTATACATATGAATTAAGAAATACATGAAAGTTGGTCACCAAAATGGTGAACATTGTTTTGTCGGGGTGACAGGAATTTAGGATATTTTACTTTCTCTCTAGTATAATTTGAATACCTTAAAATGAGTGTGTATTTTGGGCTGGAGGTGTGGCTCAAGTGTTAGAGCGCCTGCCTAGCAAGCCCTATAAAGCCAAACCTCAGTACCCTCCACCTCCCAAAGAGTGTATATAGAGAAAAGAAAATAGTTTCCGCAGGGGCGCAGCAATAGACAAGTCACAAAGAGGACTGTAACAACACAGCTTTCCGATTGTTTTTCTTCTGGTTGATTTGAATGTACTTTCCACTGGATAGCAATGTAAATGATTTACAAGAAAAAGAGCATATGCCTTTTGAGTAAAGAGTAAGAGAAGCTATAGAATTATTTTTATAAATTATCTTGTGTAACATCTTTAATAATTGTTTTGTAGCAACTACATCGTAGTCACTCAGGACAGAATTTTAAACTTTATTATATTGCTTTTGCTATGTATTTTATTTTGAATGTTATTCAAATAAAATTCCTGTCTTGGAGTTACAGTCTGAAACAACCTTGTTCATTCCTATCCTCTTCTGTGTCTGGAGTAGAAGGCAATTGTGTTGTACCAGTGGTCCTTGAACTCAGAAGTCGGAAGTCTTGACTTCCAAATTAAGATTCTGTAACTTGGCTGCATTCCTCTATTACACAGTCCTCACAGGTTTGGGTAAGGTGGAAATAAGATGTCAATAAAAAGACCTATCACAATCCCTGGAACACTGCGCCCTCCATAAACTTAATAGTTGAGTCACTATGAAGTGCTGCATTTCAAATGACTTGCACAGGAAGGATGGGTAGAGAATTTCTTGCTAGAGCATCAGTGCTCTCTCTTACATTCCACAAATACTAGTCACTCGCCAGCCCAGCTCTCACTTGCTGTCCCAATAGCTGCGGTTCCAAACCCAGACACCGTTGAGGCAACCTAGGTCTCACATCCCAGCTGGCCGCTCCGCGCAGGCGCACGTCGTGTAAACGCTCAGGTGGAGTTTGGAGGAAAGGAAGCTCCGCCTCTGCCCGCGTGGGGCCAATGGTGCAGCACCTCTTCGCCTGGGCCTATGAGAGGGGGGAGGCGGGGCTGAGGGCGGAAGGACCTGCTTTCACGTGAGTAAGGGGCGGGGGCGCAGAGAGGGCGGGGGCCGTGCGGGAGGAGCCTCCCGGACGGTCAGAGACTTGCGGAGGCCCAAGAGACGGCGGGTCGGGTAGGGCTGCGTTTCCCCTGCTCCTCCCACCTTCCTCTCCGCCACTCCCGGGAGCATTTTCTTGAGGCCCTTGCGGAAGCCAAGCTGTGTTCTCGCCCCTCGGGGCTGGGCAGGGGTCTATGCTCCGCTCCTCAACCGGCCGAGTTTGAGGGGAACTGTGATTGGGGGTGGGGGAGCCGCGACGGAGGGGAGAGCGCGCATGCGCGGGCTGGGATGCCAGGGGAGCCCCTGCCCAAACCGGTTCCCCCTGTCTGGGTGGGTGTCTGTCTCCGGAGCCCTGCGACTGCTGCGGTCTGCCAGGTCCCTCTGCGAAGCCGGTTTGTGTCTCGACTTTCTTGTTTTGGTCTTGGACCTGTTTGGAAATCTGGCCGCTTGCTCACCTCAGTTCCTCCCACTAGGCCTCTGTTTGCGACTTTCACTGTTGGGCCTCAGGCTGGCTTCCTAGGCTTCGCCTAATTTGAAAGACATTCTCGCCCTTTCAAATTCTCGGATTGGTCTTTCTGTCTCATTTTCTCCACCTGCCTTTAAAGTGTTCTGGCATTCTATTCTTCCCGTCTACTGGAAGCACCTTACGACCCCAATACCTAATTGCTGTCTCTTGGTTCACAGCAACTCAGAGTTTTGTTTGAGCCAAAGGCTAGTTAACCCTTAGGCTTCCAGGAATTCGCTGACCATTGCCTGGTAGTACTTTGGTTAGTAGGATTCTTGAATGCAGACTACTTGTTATCTGTAAGATGCTTTGACCAGCATCTGCATACCTGTGGTTACTCCACTCAGATGTCATAGCAGACCGTGTTAATTGAGCATGCTACTAGTGCTCGGTTTAAATTCATGTTCCAAACTGAATTTGAGATCTTTTGGCTTTTGTTGTCCACCTCCCCCCTGGGGAAAAACTGTCAGGGACAGGGTTTCACAGTTGATTTCATATTTTCTTTTAGGTCAACACCTGAATTTACCTTTTTGTGACTAGCATAGTAAGTAACAAGTGTGTGGGCTTCCAGCTGCTTTGTTGAGGCAGAAAAAAAAAACAGTGGAAGGTAATGAAACTCACGTTAAACTGTTGGAAAAGTAGTTTGGAAAAAAGCTTAGGTTCCAAGAAAGTGCATGTCTGATTTTTTATTTTGTTGCCTTAATTAGCGTCTGTATAAGGTGATATAAATTATACCGTATATTGAAGACTTAAGTAGAGCTTAACAAAAATTGAAAATGGATAGGGGAGTTTTGGTTTTTTTTTTTTTAATGTTCTTCCTTTGTAGATCTAAGTTGATATTAAAATTTGAATCCATGATTGATTTGTATGTGCTGGCGACATTTAAAATTCACATGTAGCTTTAATACAAAATTTAAATCAGTCTGTCAACTTGATTTTGATTTCTGTTTTTACATGGCTGAGAATGAATCCCAGCACTCCTTGTGCTGTATTTCCAGCTGTTGTTTTCAGTTAATTTATTGGCTTTAATAAGGTATATATTTGAGTGGAAAGTTAACCTATAAACTATGTATGTTGTGATATATTTGACCTAGTGTTTTGTTAGTTTGCAATGTGCCAGGATTCTGACTTGTGTTTCGTACCATCTCTACTGCATTATCTATCTACCTTGTCTACATGAGGGGGGGCAAGATTTTTCACATAATTTAACCAAAGTTTACAGCTCAGATTCCTTTAAAGTGATTGTCCTTCATTCACTAAATTTCAGGTAAAAGAAAGCCTACTACGAAGGTTGGTCTTCTCAGTAATTGTTTTAACACGTGACTTTTGAGGAATTAGTTTAAATCAGTGCTACTGCTGAGTATCAGTGTCTTTACAAAAATACTGTTGTGCTAGATTCTCACATAGGCTGTCTGTGATTATCTTTAACATTTTTCAGTATTTTAAGAAATCATTAGACTTCTCAAGCATATATAATAAACAACTTCCGCACTCAAATTTTTCCTGGAGATCAAACTCTGTATTATTTTTAAAGTGCTAACTTAACCAGTATATGTATATAAATCATACGTGACATTTGGTGCTTTGAATATATAATTGCTTTGTTTTTACCGGTTTTTCATAGTTAGATCCAGAGGCAAGAATATACAAGGCTAGGAATTTATTTCCATGGGTATAACTGAGGGGCAGGGAGGAATGATGGGGGACAGGGACACCACTACAGCAGTTTAACAGCTGTTTTCCTTTTTTGCACAGACTAATTACCTGTTAACTACCCTCACTCCTCTCCTGGGATTGTTATTCTTTAGAAAACTCTTACTTCACATAGACTTTTAAATTTATGTTGTAACCACTGTTGTCAGCAACTTTGTTTCTCTTTATGTGCAAAGACTGACCTAATATGGAAATAACATGCTATTTTACAGAATTTGGCCTGGAAGTTTCCTTTCTCTTTCCAAGTGAACCTTCAATGACACTGTTTTTGAAGATTGTTCCTTCTCTCAACATAGAGCTTTGTAAAGCCTAATTTCCCCCCCAAAATATCTGTTTCTGATCACTGAAGAGTAAAATAAAGCCCAAAATGTGTAAGTTTATGGTTGACATTAAATAGTATTTATTACATTGGCTCTAAACCATGAAAAATAAATCTTAATTGTTTGTGCTTCCAAATTTGAGGATTTGAACCTCCCCAAGAGTCAATAATAGTTGTTACGTATTTCCAGTTAAGGTTGTATCACACTTGTGCTATATGCCACTAGTCCTTGAGATCTGTAAATCTTTAGGGCAGTAAATTTTTCTTCATACTAGTCTTGCATTTCTTAAGGTACATTAACAAGTGAAATTTGTGGTAACTTTAACATAATGTTATTAGCTCAAAGCTTAACAATAATTTGTTTTTAATCTTCACATTTTTCCCTTATTTGTACATTTTGATTAATTTTAACCCACAGCCTATAGTTATAATCTTGTTTTCCCTGATGATGATTCTCATGTCTCTTAAAGGAATTGATATTCAGACTCTTGGAGAATTTTAGATATATATTATAAACATAAGGGTAATTAGAGCATTCATGTCTAAGTTGAATTAAATGTTGAGTATTTGCATAACGCTAGTGAAAGAGCCAGTCATTTAAATATTTTATTATGCATTCTTCTGCCCTTAAAGGTATCCTGATAAACTGATCCTGGCAATGTGAGAGTGGGAATAGGTTGTATAAATTCTTTTGCTGTGTGTGACACATGTCTAGACCTCTGATATACTTGCAGAAGAGAAAGCGATTATTTCCTTGCTATAGTTACTTTTTGAATTCTCTGTGAATTGAGGAAAAAAGCTGATTTTGATATGACCTGAAAAGCTAATACTTACAATAAAAATGTTTCCCAGCAGAAAATCTCTTTTTTAAAAAGAAATTTTGTATTTGGTTGTAAGAAAAGATCTTTTCAGGTAGTTTTAATACACTTGTGGACCTTAACTAAATATTTGCTAATTTTGTGTCTTCTACACAGTGCCTATCACGGTGTTGTGAATACAAGTCTTGGTAAAATACGTATGGACTATGCACCTCCTATTTGACTCACTCAAGGAGTGTCACTCCATCCCTGTGTAACTTTAGACTAGAGCTTTCTCCTGTCAGAAAACGTGTATTCTAGCAAACATTTTTGGTTTGCTTACACACATTCCCCTGAAAAGCAAACGGAAGTCATAGAAAAAAGGAAACCATATTACTGTGTTTAGCTTAAGTTTTGGCACTAAATTCACATAGATGAAAGAGGAGTAAATAGCCCAGCGCCAGTGGCTCACACCTGTAATCCTAGCTACTTGGGGGGCTGAAATCAGGAGGATCTGTATTTGAGGCCATTCCAGGCAAATAGTTTGTGAGACCCCCATCTCGAAATAACCAGAGCAAAATGACTGGAGGTGTGATTCAGCAGTAGAATGCCTTTTCGGCAACCACTAAAACTTAAGTTCAAACCTCAGTCACACACACAAAGAGAAGTAAATAATGCAAGCATTTCATATGTAAGTATAGACCGGTGGATTTCTAAATGGAATATATTCTTTTTTTTTTTTTTTTTCTGGTACTGGTGTTTGAACTCAGGGTTTCACATTAAGCAGGCATTGTACCACTTCAGCAATACTTCCAGCCCAAGAAAGATGCAGAACAGAGCACACTGTTAGCTAATTTTTTTTTCCTTTGCAGTGCTGGGAATCGAACCCAGGGTCTTGCCTATGCTAGGCAAATGCTCTACTACAGAAACTGCATCCCCAGCTCTTCATTTTCTGATCTCTGGATGATAAGGAACTGTATTGACTAATTCCTAAAAGGTGGAAAAGTATTTGGAAAACCTTTCACTGTTTAAAAAAAAAGTCGATATTTTTATATTTATAAAATTATATTATGCTTCAGAAATCTGTTCAGTAAAAAATGAAAGACAAAGATTTTTTTTTTAATCCGTAATATCAACATCAAGTGTAATCTGACCTTGTGAATGAGTAGTACATTAACACTCAAATAATTTTCCTTGTCTTCCTTGGAGTAGTTTCAGTTGTGGATATGGTATCTAAATAATAATTTAAATATTTAGTTTTGATACAGTATGTTGAGGGTTTAAAGCCAGCATACCTACAGTCCTGGAAAAAATCAAAGTGCTGTTTCCCCATATAGCCACAGGTACTTGGAAAAATCATTTATAAGGTTTTATTTTTTCAGGTGTGAATATTATTGCATTCAAAATGATAACATAGTTAAATGAGTTGTTTTATGTACATTTCAGCCTCTCAGGGCAGTTATCAAGGTATGGTGGGGTATTAATTTTGGAATCATAAAGACATGAGCATCCCAAAGTCTTAACATTTACTTGGTATATGACTGGCACCAAGCTACTTAATGATTTTGAGGCTTGGTTTCTTCATTGGTTAAAATGGAGCTATTTCTAACTACCTCATGAAATTGTACTAAAAAGCACCTGATATCTGTCCCTGCCTTCATAGATACTTACATTAATAATAAAAAAATAACATTCAGTCCCTTCGTTTTATGTAACTGAAGTAACATTACCCAAGTCAAAAAAAAAGACTCAGGAGTCTAACCCCTAGTCTTTTTTTTTTCCCATTACACTACACCATTAACTTAAAAAAGAAATTAATAAGTCTTGATTACTCATGAGAAAATGAGAAATATCTGAAAACATTGGCTGTCTTTAGGCATTTTACTATATTTTGTGAGTTTTAGCCTAAAGATCCAATAAAGCTACAATTGGGATTTTAAAAACTTTTTAATCAAAAAATGAGTGGATAAACAAAATGCGGTGTGCATACAGTGGAATATTATTCAGCCTTAAAAAAGGAAAGAAATTCTAACATGCTACACGGGTAAACCTTTAAGGCATTATGCTAAATGAAGTAAGCCAGTTATAAAAGGTCATATAATTCCATTGTTTATGAGGTACCTAGAGTATCACATTCATAGAGACAAAAAGTAGAATGGTGACTGCCAGGGACTAGGGGAAGGAGAAGTGGGGACTTCATGTTCTTGGCTGTAGTTACAGTTGGGGAAGATGAAATGTTCTAGAAATGGATGAGATCGTGGTAGTGATGGCACAACAATGTGAACAGACTTAATGCCTTAGAACATATACTTTAAAATGGAATGTTAAGGTTTACGTTAACCCAGCAATGTAGAAAAATTACAACTTGTAAGACATTTTAAAGAAAAACTTGTCTTAAAAACTCCTATGTTCCTTTAATTCACATATCTTTTTTTAAAGTTCTTCTAGAATTGAATGGTCACTTAATAGTTCAAAGAAGTAAACTGTCTCAGTATCATAGGTTAAAATTTGTCTGAGGATGACTTTTAGATAAACTGGTTTTTCTTGCCTTGTGTGTTTTGAGGTAGGGTCTCTCTATATAGCCCAGGCTGATTTTCTTGCTTTTATTTGCAAGTACACTCAAGAGGATTAAGTTTTCTTTCCTTTTTAGTTAAAACCTAAGCTGAGGACTGGCGTAGTGGCTCAAGTGCTAAAGCATCTGTGCTATCAAGTAAAGGCCCTGAGTTCGAGGCCCTGAGTTCAAACCCCAGCTGAAATTAATCCAAAGGCTTAAGTTAGTGTGGTTCTCTTAGCTCACTAAAATAATTCAAAGAAGCAACCTCCAGATTCATGGCCACAATTTAAACAAAGATTTGTCTAGTGTTTAGCAATTAGTAGTGGTGGAAAGGATTTTGTTTTGAGATGGGATGGTTTTCCATTGAATTTTGTTAGGTTTATCCCACCACTCCCTTGAGAGAGAGGTTGAGAGAAATTCACATAAAAACAGTACAGGGAAACAAAATTCAGAGACAGAAAAAAAAGATAAAAGCTAAGACTAATATAGTGTGGCTTTTCTCGTTTGTTTGGCTTTTGTTTGGGATACTAGGGATTGAACTCAGGGCCTTATACTTACTAGGCAGGCCCTCTACCACCTGAGACACATCACCAATCCTTTTGCTTTTAGTTTTTTAGATAAGATCTTGTGATTTTACCCCTACACAAGCCCTGAATAGTGATCCTCCTGTTTTCAACTCCTAAGTAACTGGGATTACATGTGTGCACCACCACACCCAGCTATAACATGGGTTTTTACATTTTCTTTGTCTGTTGTGGTTAGAAACCTTCAAGCGTGAGTTTTTACACAGGTGTATGGTGCATGCTTGTCGCAGCACTCTGAATGATGAGGCAGGAAGATTGTGAGTTCAAGTTCAACTACAAAAAGATAGCTTGTCTCAAAACAACAACAGAAAGAAAAGATAGTTCCTTTTGAGTCTCTTTGTTCTAATCATCATCCATGCTTACATTTCCATGCACCTGCATGTTAGTATACTATATATATATATTTGCTTGTCTTTCTCATATTACTTAGAAGCCACTTATATACTAATGAAGTAATTATACTGCAGTGTCTGTGGAGGGATTGGTTGCAGGACCCTTCCCCAGTACCAAAATGACATAGTATTTGCACATGCACATAACCTCTGGACATCCTTACACATCAGCCCTTGTACTTTAAATCATCTCTAGATTACTTAAAATACTTGACAATGTAAATACTATCTTAATAGTTGTACTGTATTTAGGGAATAATGACAAAAATAAAAAGTCTGATTATGTTCGGTATGGACAGTTTTGTTTTTTTTTTTTCCTGAATATTTTTGGTCCTCAGTTGAATCCATGAATGAAGAATTCATTGACTTGGTGTATCAGCTAGTCAGTAAGAATATGAAGGTAATAGGAATAAAACAAGCTAATTGTAGAGAAATAATTCAAGTGGACTATGTTTGTGCCCATTTATTCCCACCATTTGACATGGTGATTTATACTGAGTAATTATTTCTGGAGTGAATGGGTCAGTCAATACAATAGAATAAAAGAGTGGTATAACATTATTACTGGTTGATATAAACTAGTTCTTGTGAGAAAACTTGAAAGTAAACAAAAAGTTTTAGGAACTCTAGCAGGAAATAAACATTGCAGAAGAGGAAGGGAGAAGTTAAATACTTGATCGTATTATTAGATTCTTCCTAGAGAAGAAAAAGCTAAATGAGAAAAG